CGTATACTTGTGTCTTTGTTGTTGTTGTGTACGCTTATGTGTACGATTGTGTGTGAGGATAGGAGGTTGAGAAAACTTGATAGTGTCACCATAAAGTCACTTCTTTGGAAACCACAGATCAACAACAACAACAACAACAACAACAACAACAACAACAACAAAATAAAAAAATAAGGGGGAGGGATAGGAACCACTCACACACAAACATTGAGAACAGAGGTAATGCTAAAAACCCGAGAGTCACAAGAGACTAAAGTTCAGTTATAGGTTAGTTGCGTATCCTTTACAGGACGTTGCAGAACCAACCCCAACAGCCCCTGGCTGTTGTGCGGTTTTTCTAGGCAAATTTACGTCCAGTAGTTTGTCATTGCTTTCTAGACGGTCGATCTAGTCCATTAGTGGACGAAAAAAAAAAAGACCCCCTCCCCCCACCTCGGAGTTTACGCCAGCTCTGGCCTTTACCCGAAAGCAACAGATCCCCCACCACTAACCCCCCTCCCCCGGCTACACAAGGCTCACTATTTAATTGTACCTCTCTCCATCCTGCATAAATTATATTTTTTCCCTTTATATCCACAAATAGAGAGTCGCCGTGGTGTAGCGGCTAGACGCTCGCCTGTGAATCGGAAGGTAGTGGGTTCGGGTCCTCATGGAGCCAGACCTTCTTTCAAAAATGACCTTGCGTTGACCCAGCCTTGAGTGGGTAGCGGTTGGAGTCCTGGGAAGTAAAGGCGACGGGTGTGAAGCTGACTACATCACCCATCAAGTGCCGTTTGGTCTGTAACACATAGTCTAGCCGTAGATGCCCAATATGTCTAAAGGCGTGGAAAAAGGTCCTTTTCATTTTTTTTGGGGTCCTAATTTATGTCCACAAATCCAGAGATACATGTCGACTTTCTAATTCCTTGGTCATTTATGTTTGTTGCTTTTCTTTAGATGAGTGGACTGTATCAGCGCCATGCTAAAAAGTTAACCTGTCTCTGAAAGCTGCTCAAAATCAACTGGCAAGATAAGATCCTAAATACTGTGGGTCTTGATAGGGCAAAACTGCCTAGCATCCACACGATACTGAAGAATTGTCAGCTGCGTTGGGCTGGTCACCTAACCCGCATGCCAGACTATCGCCTCCCAAAGAGAGTATTTTATGGCGAGCTCCAGTAAGGACAGAGATTCCAGAGAGGACATCACAGAGAGGACAGAAAAAGCGCTATAAGGACACTGAAAACTGCTCTCAATTCTTTTAGCATCAACACAGCGACGTGGAAGGCTGCTGCACAAGACCGTTCTGGATGGCGTACGTCCCTCAAACATTGTGCATCGGCCTGCCAGGCAGCGGAGGTTGCACAGGCAGAGAAACGGAGGCAGACTAGAAAGAATTGTACTGCTAATCCCACACTGAATGTGGCTTTCACCTGTTGTCCACACTGCTCACGAACTTTCCATGCTCATACTGGACCAATCAGCCACCTTCATACTCATAATCATTGATCATTACTACTTTGCATGAAAGTGGTCTATATCACTCATGGTGGACGAACAACACATAAAGTAGAATTAATCATGCATTACAATTGCAAATTTGATTTGTAATGTGTTATTTTATCCCCCATGTTTTTACTGTCAAATGTGTTATTGCCATAAATAAAAAGCGATTAACACAGTGAATACACGTGAATACAAATCAAGTCAGTGGCATGACAATGAAAATTTAACATCATCATCGCCACTTCCACTTTTATCAACAAAAGAAGAGAATAATAAAATCAATCAGAAAGCCACCAACACCGGCAAATGACGATAACCATTTTATGGACAGACCAGAGCCAGTTATTATTCTACGCCTTAGAACAGGACACAATCAACTTCTCAGCCACATGTAGACAATATTTAAAATCGGTGAATCAGCCATGTGTACATGTGGACTGGCACCTGAGACAACAGATCATGTCCTCCAAGACTGTCCCAAATACAACATATCAAGGCAAAACGTTTGGCCAAGAGAAACATCTTTGCGAATCAAACTTTACGAGTCGCTGAGTGAATTTTAAAATACAGGGAAGTTCATACTAGAGACAAAATTGCAGATATAGATATTCTATTTCAAGCGGACGAAAGAAGAAAGAACAATTCCACTTTTGCTGTTGGTAGTCCTGATGAGTTACAGTTTGAGGTCCAGCGTTCCTTGAATGGCACTGGCATGTCTACATTATTTTTCTAGGCAACAAAACATCACAAGCATGATATTAGAAGTTGACATTGTAAACGTATGATTGACAGAACAACTGCAAGTCTGCAATGATAAAATAAGCATAAGCTTTCATCTACTGACGTATTATCAAGAGATGAAGTTGTCATCAATACTCTAAACCCTAGGATCATTAAAAAAAAGTTTGTTGTTTTTATTGTTGTTACATGCATTACATCATTACATTAGAATACTGTATGTATGTAAAGACGCATACATACATTCTAAGTGGGTGTGCACACGTAACTATAAATTCATTTAAAATTGTACATGTATGTCTATGTCTATATATATACATGTGTTTGTGGTCACACCAGTCCCTTTCCCAACAACCATATCAAGATACTAGAGTACCGGTCGAAGCTACACTTCTTAGCCAACAAATTTGGCATAAAGAAACCAGGCCACAAGTATAGCCGATACTGCTTGCAGTAGGTTGAATGTAGTGGATTATTTTTCATAAATGGACGGATGGACAATGGGCGAAAGATATTTTTTTAAAGCCCCACTCCTGCTGTCGCGGGGGCCCCTAAATATAACCTACGGATTGTACAAGGTTTCTGGAACTTGCGCTAAGGTGATTCTCATCCGAATGGTGGCACTTTTTATCACCAGGTGTTTATCGTTCGTCGTGTGGTCCTGGTGGGGTTGAAGGTCAGCCAGTCACAAAGGGTGAGAACTATAGCATGGAACTATATATATCAATAAAAAAGTTCTCCCCCCAATGGCTTGTCAAGTATACACGACTCATCACTCTGTAATCAGCAGTGATAATAGTAATAACCCAGGGCTTTTATCTCTCGAGGTACGCCCACGTTCGCAGTACCGGCACTGTGTTTTAGGCATCGTGTTTTTCAGTACTGCTATAATTGACACTTTATGGTGAGTTAAGACCACCTTTTCTTCTGGGAAGGGGGGGGGGGGAAAGGGGGACACTCCCAACAGAAATAATCAGGATGTTTTTATTTGTTCTTGTGGTACTGATCCCAAGGGAGTCCCCGTGGTGGAGCTGCTAGACGCTCGCCGCGGATCGGAAGGTCATGGGTTCGCTCCCTGGCGAAGCCAGACTTTTCAAAAAATGACTTTGGCATCCGGTTCGACCCAGCCTTGAATGGGTACCGGGTGATGTCCCGGAAAGTTAAGGCGACCGGCGTGCTGCTGACCACATCACCCATCTTGAGCCAATTGGTCTATAAGAATATAGGTCTAGCTGTATATGCCTTTTACGCTAAAGGCGTGGAAAAGGGTCCTTTACTTTTTCCTCACTTACTCATCTCAACGGAGTAAAGTCACCGACAATTTTAGACATTTTTTTTTTCTCAGCGCTGCTGTAATAGACACTTTGTGATGTGTCATCCTTGTTATACACACTTATTGGTGAGTAATGAAAAATCTATATGAAAAACTTATGAGCAGGAAGTAGATTGTCACCCTAGTAGAGCCTGCCTGCTGGGGAAGAGGCGATGGATGAATCAGTAGAGAAAGAAGATTTTTATGGCCTTGAGAGAAGGAGGCACCTGAGTGTAACCAGAGGGTCTGGCCAGTTCAATACACTAAGAGAAAAGGTAAGACGTATAACCATTTGTGACCAGTACCATCAGTATTAGAACTCTGCGCTGGCTGCTGAAGATGAGGACGGAGCACGCATGAGAATGCCCCGAGTGCTAAGATGTCAATTCTTGACTCAACTCAACTCAACTCAACTGGTGAGTAATGACCATTTTTCTGGGAATAAACATGATAATAATCGCCATGAAATAATAATAAGGATAATTTTTTACAACCACAAGAATGCACCGTTAATTATGTTTCCGCCCCAAAATGGGACGCAATTTTTCGTTATAATAAAGCCCCCACTTGAGCTGTTGGAAGCCGCCGTGGACCAGCTGCTAGAAGCTCGCCTGCGTATCAGAAGGTCGTGGGTAGGGTTCCTGACTGGTCCGGACCTTTTCCAAAAATGACCTTGGCTCCCAGGTCGACCCAGGCTTGAATGGGTACCAGGTACAGTCCATATCACCCACCAAGTGCCGTTTGTTCTATATAATTTAGGTATAGTCCTCTATACCCAATACGCCTGAAGCCGTGGAACAGTAACATAACAACACCCGCCCCCCCCTCCCCCCGCTTACCCTCCCCCCTTTCAAAATGAGGCCCTGAAACCACACTGTCTTTAGGTGTTCTCGTGAACGGCAGTTTTTCTTGATATGTTTTGGTGTGCTCTTGTAGCGCGGTTTTATTCAATGCTTTTGGATGTTCTTAGTCAAGCCCATCTGTTTCATTGGATTGTGGATGTTCTTAGTAGACACGTCTGTTTTCTGAGATTTTCGATGTTCTCAGTCAGGCACGTCTGTTTCTGGGGATTGTGGGTGCTCTCAGTCAGACACGTCTGTTTTTTTTGAGATTGTGGGTGCTCTCAGTCAGGCACGTCTGTTTTCTGGGATTGTGGATGCTCTCAGTCAGGCACATCTGTTTTCTGGGATTGTGGATGCTTTCAGTCAGGCACGTCTGTTTTCTGGGCTTGTGGATGCTTTCAGTCAGGCACGTCTGTTTTCTGGGATTGTGGATGCTCTCAGTCAGGCACGTCTGTTTTCTGGGATTGTGGATGCCTTCTGTCAGGCACGTTTGTTTTCTGGGATTGTGGATGCTCTCAGTCAGGCACGTTTGTTTTCTGGGATTTTCGATGTTTTTAGTCAGACACATCTGTTTTCTATGATGTTCTCAGTCACACGTCTATATTCATGAATATTGGATTTTCTCAGTTAGACAAGTCTTCTTTCTGTGATGTCTTCAACGTTGTGAGAAGCGGATTAGCAGATACTGACGGTAAATGTGGGTATACGGATGACATAACTTTAGACAATGTAATAGAAGACGACGGTTGTGTAGACGTTGATGTAGATTTTGTTGTGGACTTTGATATTTCCATGTTGTCACTGACAGCATTCGAAGTTGACGAAATCGCAACAGGATAGTTTTCGTGTAATCGATATGATAGATGTGACTTTAGGATATTTTTAAGTAGATTACTGTCTAATCCCTCGCTGTTATCAGTAATTGGCTTCACATCATTTGATGACTGGAAATTATGTTTGGGAACTGATGAAGGGATGAACGCATCTCCATAACCAAGCATTGATAAAGTCGGGACTGTGTTTCTGATAATGTCTGGAACTGGTTGAGTGGTACTTGTAATTACTTTAGAATTCACAGCTTTGTTAAGTATCTGACCATCAAATATTATGTAAGCTGATGTACTGGTTTCCTCTATGTTTGCAGAATGTCCATTTTCCTTTGCAAGTACTGGAGATGATGAACCAGTTCTATTCAGGCGGCTTGTAATGTTTTCTGATGAAATATCACGAATGGTTAAATTAACGTTGTTATCTTTGTCAAATACTGACTTGTCAGAACCCTGTGCATCATTTGTCTTGTGAATTGACTTATCAACAAAAGTTAGCGACGAAGATGAGTTACAATCCTCGCTTTCCACTGAATGTGTTCCATTATTTTCGGAAAATGAAACTGAGTCTGTAGATACAAGCTGAGTATCAACCGCGGAATGAATTAATTTTGTTTCTGAAGTGAATTTCGATTCCTTAGAAGAGGAATTGATATTAATTTCTTCTGTTGTGCTGATTGATGTTTTCAATACCCCACTAGCAGTTTCTGGATAACCATGGACAGATTCTGTTGGATAAGAACCAGTCTCATCGTCTTTAGAACTGTGAGTAAACTTAGTCAATGGTTTGCTGAAATCGAGGCTAGAAAGATGATATCTGTACAACCGCCTGTCGTCTGGGTGCTGGAAAAATGATGCTGGAATTGCATAATCATCCGTTAGGGGACAGAAGCCAGTTTTTGAGTCAAACTCTCCAATTGTACACTCAGGCATGTAGCAGTTACCGTTCCCGATACACCTGATGTAAAAAACAATAAAGAGTTGGTTATATGCAATACAAAAAACAGCTTGTTATGTGTAAAACAACAACCAACTTGTTATATGTAAAACAACAAACAGCTTGTTGTATGTAGAATAAACATAAGTAAAACAATAAACAGCTTGTTATATGTAAAACAATAAACAGCTTCTTATATGTAAAACAACAAACAGCTTTTTATATATAAAACAACAAACAGCTTGTTATATGTAAAACAAACAAATATAAAACAACAAACAGCTTCTTATATATAAAACAACAAACAGCTTCTTATATGTAAAACAACAAACAGCTTGTTATATGCAAGACAACGAACAGCTTCTTATATGTAAAACAACAACCAACTTGTTATATGTAAAACAACAAACAGCTTGTTATATGTAAAACAACAAACAGCTTCTTATATATAAAACAACAAACAGCTTCTTATATATAAAACAACAAACAGCTTCTTATATATAAAACAACAGCTTCTTATATATAAAACAACAAACAGCTTGTTGTATGTAAAACAAACAAATGTAAAACAACAAACAGCTTCTTATATATAAAACAACAAACAGCTTCTTATATATAAAACAACAAACAGCTTCTTATATATAAAACAACAAACAGCTTCTTATATATAAAACAACAAACAGCTTCTTATATATAAAACAACAAACAGCTTGTTGTATGTAAAACAAACAAATGTAAAACAACAAACAGCTTCTTATATATAAAACAACAAACAGCTTCTTATATATAAAACAACAAACAGCTTGTTGTATGCAAGACAACGAACAGCTTCTTATATGTAAAACAACAAACAGCTTCTTATATATAAAACAACAAACAGCTTGTTATATGTAAAACAATAAACAGCTTCTTATATGTAAAACAACAAACAGCTTCTTATATATAAAACAATAAACAGCTTGTTATATGTAAAACAAACAAATATAAAACAACAAACAGCTTCTTATATATAAAACAACAAACAGCTTCTTATATGTAAAACAACAAACAGCTTGTTATATGTAAAACAAAAACAGCTTCTTATATGTAAAACAACAAACAGCTTCTTATATGTAAAACAACAAACAGCTTCTTATATGTAAAACAACAAACAGCTTGTTATATGTAAAACAACAAACAGCTTCTTATATGTAAAACAACAAACAGCTTGTTATATGTAAAACAACAAACAGCTTGTTATATGTAAAACAACAAACAGCTTCTTATATGTAAAACAACAAACAGCTTCTTATATGTAAAACAACAAACAGCTTCTTATATGTAAAACAACAACAAACAGCTTGTTATATGTAAAACAACAAACAGCTTGTTATATGTAAAACAACAAACAGCTTCTTATATGTAAAACAACAAACAGCTTCTTATATGTAAAACAACAAACAGCTTGTTATATGTAAAACAACAAACAGCTTGTTATATGTAAAACAACAAACAGCTTCTTATATATAAAACAACAAACAGCTTCATATATATAAAACAACAAACAGCTTCTTATATATAAAACAACAAACAGCTTCTTATATATAAAACAATAAACAGCTTGTTATATGTAAAACAAACAAATATAAAACAACAAACAGCTTCTTATATGTAAAACAACAAACAGCTTGTTATATGTAAAACAACAAACAGCTTGTTATATGTAAAACAACAAACAGCTTCTTATATATAAAACAACAAACAGCTTCTTATATATAAAACAACAAACAGCTTCTTATATATAAAACAACAAACAGCTTCTTATATATATAAAACAATAAACAGCTTGTTATTAACAAAAACAAACAAATATAAAACAACAAACAGCTTCTTATATATAAAACAACAAACAGCTTCTTATATGTAAAACAACAAACAGCTTGTTATATGTAAAACAACAAACAGCTTCTTATATGTAAAACAACAAACAGCTTCTTATATGTAAAACAACAAACAGCTTCTTATATGTAAAACAACAAACAGCTTCTTATATGTAAAACAACAAACAGCTTGTTATATGTAAAACAACAAACAGCTTCTTATATATAAAACAACAACAAACAGCTTCTTATATATAAAACAACAAACAGCTTCTTATATATATAAAACAAACAAACAGCTTCTTATATATAAAACACAAACAGCTTCTTATATATAAAACAACAAACAGCTTGTTTATATATAAAACAACAAACAGCTTGTTATATAAAACAACAAATATAAAACAACAAACAGCTTCTTATATATAAAACAACAAACAGCTTCTTATATATAAAACAACAAACAGCTTGTTGTAGGTATAAAAAACAACAACAAACAGCTTCTTATATATAAAACAACAAACAGCTTCTTATATATAAAACAACAAACAGCTTGTTGTATGCAAGACAACGAACAGCTTCTTATATGTAAAACAACAAGCAGCTTCTTATATATAAAACAACAAACAGCTTGTTATATGTAAAACAATAAACAGCTTCTTATATGTAAAACAACAAACAGCTTCTTATATATAAAACAATAAACAGCTTGTTATATGTAAAACAAACAAATAAACAAACAGCTTCTTATATATAAAACAACAAACAGCTTCTTATATATAAAACAACAAAACAGCTTGTTATATGTAAAACAACAAACAGCTTCTTATATGTAAAACAACAAACAGCTTCTTATATATAAAACAACAAACAGCTTGTATAAAAACAACAAACAGCTTCTTATATGTAAAACAACAAACAGCTTCTTATATGTAAAACAACAAACAGCTTCTTATATGTAAAACAGCTTCTTATATGTAAAACAACAAACAGCTTGTTATATGTAAAACAACAAACAGCTTGTTATATGTAAAACAACAAACAGCTTCTTATATGTAAAACAACAAACAGCTTCTTATATGTAAAACAACAAACAGCTTCTTATATGTAAAACAACAAACAGCTTGTTATATGTAAAACAACAAACAGCTTGTTATATGTAAAACAACAAACAGCTTGTTATATGTAAAACAACAAAGCTTCTTACAGCTTGTTATATGTAAAACAACAAACAGCTTGTTATATGTAAAACAACAAACAGCTTGTTATATGTAAAACAACAAACAGCTTGTTATATGTAAAACAACAAACAGCTTGTTATATGTAAAACAACAAACAGCTTCTTATATGTAAAACAACAAACAGCTTCTTATATGTAAAACAACAAACAGCTTGTTATATGTAAAACAACAAACAGCTTCTTATATGTAAAACAACAAACAGCTTGTTATATATAAAACAACAAACAGCTTGTTATATGTAAAACAACAAACAGCTTGTTATATGTAAAACAACAAACAGCTTCTTATATGTAAAACAACAAACAGCTTGTTATATGTAAAACAACAAACAGCTTCTTATATGTAAAACAACAAACAGCTTCTTATATGTAAAACAACAAACAGCTTGTTATATGTAAAACAACAAACAGCTTGTTATATGCAAGACAACGAACAGCTTCTTATATGTAAAACAACAACCAACTTGTTATATGTAAAACAACAAACAGCTTGTTATATGTAAAACAACAAACAGCTTCTTATATATAAAACAACAAACAGCTTCTTATATATAAAACAACAAACAGCTTCTTATATATAAAACAACAAACAGCTTCTTATATATAAAACAACAAACAGCTTGTTGTATGTAAAACAAACAAATGTAAAACAACAAACAGCTTCTTATATATAAAACAACAAACAGCTTCTTATATATAAAACAACAAACAGCTTCTTATATATAAAACAACAATCAGCTTCTTATATATAAAACAACAAACAGCTTCTTATATATAAAACAACAAACAGCTTCTTATATATAAAACAACAAACAGCTTGTTGTATGTAAAACAAACAAATGTAAAACAACAAACAGCTTCTTATATATAAAACAACAAACAGCTTCTTATATATAAAACAACAAACAGCTTGTTGTATGTAAAACAAACAAATGTAAAACAACAAACAGCTTGTTATATGCAAGACAACGAACAGCTTGTTTTATGTAACAACAAATTAAGTTTGAAAAAAATCAACATCTTTTTTGCACATTCTCTCGTTATCCCCTTGTGGGAAGCCCCACCCTGGCAATGGTAGGATAATAAAGTTAATAGTAACAGAGCTGAACATGTATTTACATCAGACTTCCTTGTGCAATTTGTGACCACATTCTAATAGACAGTTTGTTCTTGTCGTCGTCTGACAGTGATTGCAGTGTAAGTGTGTCATCAATGAACATTATCCCAGCACTCATAGCTCTTGGTAATTATCAACTTTGCCTGAGTATTGCCATCCGTTTTACCGACTCCCCTCCCAGACTGCTGGTTCCTGGCCTCTCAGGCAGATGCACTCCGACTTCGAAGGAAGCTCCCAATTAGTCGACTTTTACGACATGCTTTTGGGTAGACTGAGTTTTATTGTTTTTCCATTTATAATAGGGCCCTGGAACCCACACTCCCTGACGCCCCTGAAGCCCTCCCACCCTACTCTCCACCACCACCACCAGCACCATCATTACCACCACCACCACTACTATTAGTGATTACTTACGCCAGTGCATCCCCTGACAAGGATACTAGCCCGTCCTTTACATTCTGACATGGCCAACCCTCCTGATTAGCCAGTGGAAAACAATCACACTTGCAGAGTTCCCCTGCCTGTGTGAGCCTGAAAGACTGCGGGCACATTTTTGTGCATCTGTACACTTTGTGTTACAGCCTCAGTGTTTTCTTTGTGTTGTTCAATTAGTAGTAACTGCAGCTGAATTTATAAATTAGAACGAATACCAGAATACTGAACTTACTTCGGTAGTTGTTGTTTTTCTCGACACTCACACTCGGTATGGTTAACGAATTCTAGTGTTGTGGCCATCGTGGGGTTGAACATCACGTGATCATCAAGATCTGTGAGTCGGTCAATCATCTGTTGACGTATACGGATGATTAAAATATGCACACACACACACCGCATTAGCGCAGTCGATTAGAGGCTCGCTGTCAAATCCAGCTGCGACACGCTGCAGCCCACGGTCGGTGTTCGAAACAGGGCGGCTCCCGGGGTTCACACAGCCTCTAGGAAATGGGTACCAGAGTTGATACTCTGGGGTAAATGGAGGAACGTCGTTGTAGCTACAGAGTTACGTGCGAACGGCGACACAGGTGGACAGTTTCTTATCAGCTGTCCGTACTGGTGGCAGAGCACTTATAACCGTGTGCAATGACGCTGGTTCACATCTCCCGACTTATCCTTTTTAACACGCGCGTGTGTTAATTTTTACAGACTTCCAGCATGTGATCCTGTCGATTATGGGCTTGGAATGCTTACTATATCAAAGAGTCAGCTGATAAAATTTGAACTCATACAGAATTTATCAACGCGGATAATTCTGGGATGTACAAGAGATACTCCGATAGTATGTATGCGATACATATTTGCACTACCTACTGTTGCAGATTGACTCAAAGTTCTGCAAGCAAAGTCAATTCTCAGAGTGGCAGCAGAAAAGAAGCACACTCTATATGATGCCGTAGGCAGAACTAAGGGTCACAGACTGAACAGACGAAGATCTTGGAAGGCGCAAGCTGAAGACAATTAGACAACTGTGCAAACTTAATTTTGGGCGAGGAGACGAGTGGATCAGAGTGTTCAAGCAAGAATCTGACTATCGCAGACTAGCTGTAAACCATAACACAGTGTGCCAACCGCCCGTTTTAGGACGAGTTAAGAAGAAGAAGACGATAACCCGCTTTCGAATGTCTCCCACCTGTTCATGATGGCATGCACATCAACTTAAAAACTAAAAGCAAATCCGTGGAGAAAAAAAGAAAAGAAACAATTTTGGTGTTATCTTTTCAGGCTTCGGAAATTAATCTAAACGTGCCACCCACAACTTACGTGTGTTATCTTTTCTACACAGGAACCATTACCCGATCTGCAAATGTCTTCATCGTCTGGGGCAGTTCTCTCACCTTTCCATGTTTCAGACATGTTTATGTTTGACCTCTCTCATAAACTTTGAGGGAAAGCACGCGAGACTGTCAGAAAGTAACCTCTGAATCGTTTTCCAAGCATCACGTGACACTTTTGAAAAAGTGGTCAGTGGAGCCAGGGAGAAGATTGTGGATCGGGCAAGTTGCTGGTTCGGGATAGCACCCAGGATGTTACTAGGAAGGTAAAAGAGGCGTCGAGTAACTAAATATAGATAAGAAGGAAGGTAGGGCTTAAATAAGACGTAGTAAATGATATATGTAGTAAAGTATTTATAATCAAGACAAGAATGACAGAATTAATGTACGTTCGTCGGCTGAAGAACGTACTTGCAAATTCATGACGCACATACTCTGCTCGAAGCGCAACTGTCACATCAAAGTCATTGTCGTCGTTGCCATTATCATCACCATCTTTGTCATCATCATCATTGTCGGCGTCATCATCAGGATCTTTATCATCATCATCATTGTCATCATCATCATTGTCGTCGTCACCATCATCATCTTTATCAACATCCTTATCTTCTATCATCACTATCATCATCACTATCTGTTATCATCATCGTCATCATCATCACCATCATCATCATCTTTATAATAACCATCATCATCACCATTTTTTTCATCATCATCATTATCATCACCATCATCATGATCACCATCATCGACATCATCATCACCATCTTTATCATCACCATCATCGTCATCATTATCATCATTATCATCATCTTTATCATCACCACCATCATCATTATCACCACCAACATCATCACCATCATCATTACCGTCATCATCATCATCTTTATCATTATCACCATCATCATCATCCCCATATTTATCATCACCATCATCATTACCACTATAATCATTATCATCACCATCTTTATCATCATCACCATGCTGGGTATTTTATTCACCACACAGGGCTCACCCTATGTTCCTTCATTCCATTCTGTCCGGTGCAATATTTTTGTTCTCGTGGACGGAATCACGACCGGCTCCAACTGACAAGTGCTGCTGCTAACGTCACCAGGCCGGGCTAACGATGCTTCAACACAGCGGTTCTCAAACAAGAAATAAATAATTTTCGACAGTGGTGAGGGAAGACAACTTAAATTGTGTAACTTTTAAGTATCGACATGCTTTCTTTAATAATTTCAAAATTTTTAGCCGACTTTTCTGGATTTTTGCAGCGGCACCCCTGGCATACGATAATGGCACACCAAGGTGCCTCTGCACCTGTTTGAGAACCGCTGCGTTACCACATCGTTAGCCCGACTCGGTGACGTCAGCAGCACGACCGGTCAGCTGGTGCCGGTCGTGACGGAATCCAATCAAGCACCTTTGGCCTCTGCCGTGGACATTCGTCTTGTTTCTTTTGGACGACTTCTTTTCGTGAATCAATTTGTTTCCTGTTTCAGTGCCTGTTTGATGGTTCCTTGCCTGTTTCTCTTCGTGACATGCCCAGAATATCCGAATCTTATTTGATTTATATCTGTCAGACACCGGTCCCACGTGCTGGTAAACTGAAAGTCGAATTGTGTCGGCCATGTTTCTTATCAGTTACCACGGTCTTTGGAAGTAGTCGTTATGTAGCGGCTAGGCGCTTGCCTGTGGATCGGAAGGTCGTGGTTTCGAATCCTAATGGAACCGAGTTCTCTTCAGAAATGACCTTGGTTATCAGGTCGAGCATGCCTTGAGTGGGTAGTCCCAGCTGTAGCCCTGGGAAGTAAAGGTGGCCGGCGTGATGTTGACCCCATCACCTGCCAGATGTGGTTCGTCTTTAAAACATAGGCCTAGTCCTATATGCCCAATCCACCTGAAGGCGTTAAAAAGGGTCCTTTACCTTTGCTAACTTTTACCATAGTCTTTATCAACAAACAAAAGTGCGGTAACTATGTTTGGGTAATTAATCCTCAACCTCTTCATCAAACACAAGTGCGGTAACTATGGTTGGGTAATTAATCATCAACCTCTTCATCAAACAAAAGTGCGGTAACTATGTTTAGGTAATCAATCCTCAACCTCTTCATCAAACACAAGTGCGGTAACTATGTTTAGGTAATTAATCCTCAACCTCTTCATCAAACAAAAGTGCGGTAACTATGGTTGGGTAATTATTCCTCAACCTCTTCATTAACCCCAAGAGCGGTAACTATGTTTAGGTAATTATTCCTCAACCTCTTCATTAACCCCAAGGGCGGTAACTATGTTTAGGTAATTAATCCTCAACCTCTTCATCAACCCGAAGGGCGGTAACTATGTTCAGGTAATTAATCCTCAACCTCTTCATTAACCCCAAGGGCGGTAACTATTTTTAGGTAATCATTCCTCAACCTCTTCATCAACCCCAAGGGCGGCAACTATGTTTAGGTAATTAATCTTCAACCTCTTCATTAACCCCAAGGGCGGTAACTATGTTTAGGTAATCATTCCTCAACCTCTTCATTAACCCCAAGGGCGGTAACTATGTTTAGGTAATTATTCCTCAACCTCTTCATCAACCTACACACCGCCTCCACAAAGAAGGTCGGCTACACTGAATCTGTATTACTCTCTGTCTTTCGCCCTGAATGTACACATTCTGAGACTGCTTGTCGATCAATTCCTGGTATCCCTCCACTCTTTCGTGTACCGCCTGATCTCATTATTATGGCAATCAATGCTTATTGTCACAAATTATTAAACTCTTCGCTTACTAGAGATACATCGATGATAAAGTTCATTATTATACATCATTTAACTCTTCTCTCATTGAGACTCATCTTTGGTAATGTTTATTCTTATGAATTATTAAACTTTTTACTTACTAGAGACGCAGTGATGATAACGTTTATTGTTATAAATCACTAAACTCTTCACTTACTAGACACATCGATGATAATGTTTATTGTTGCAAATTACTAAACTCTTCTCTCATTAAGACTCATCGTTGGTTATGTTTATTCTAATGAATTATTAAACTTTTTACTTACTAGAGACGCAGTGATGGTAATGTTTATTGTTATAAATCACTAAACGTTTCACTTACCAGAGATACTTTGATGATAATGTTTATTGTTATAAATTATTTTATTCTTCACTTATCAAAATACATCGTTGGTAATGTTTATTCTAATGAATTATTAAACTCTTCACTTACTAGAGAAACATCGATGATAATGTTCATTGTTATAAATGACCAAACTCTTCTCTTATTGAGACTCATCGATGGTAAAGTTTAAACAGTTTAATCTACTAAATTACTAAACTTTTCACTTACAAGGAACGCCTTGTTAACGACGTTCATGCTCTTAGGAACACACTCACTGCCTTCGCCACAACAGCCCGTGTAGTTCATGCAACGATGCAGTACCACACACTCTGGTAGGAAGACACGAGTTGCGTCGTGTGGATCTGTGACTCTATGCACATACGGCGTGGGGTGCCGGCATTTGAAGGCTGAGCAGTAGTTCGTGTCGTCTATGTGATGAAGAGCGGCTTCGAATGCTGAAAGTATTAAATGTGAACAATAAGGGAGGTGAAGTCTAGAGATATTAGGAAATCAGAGAAAAGTGCAAATAGGCAACTATGTTGGGTTAGAATTAGGCTGGTTATATAAACAAAAGTCCAAATAGGCAACCAAGTTGGGTTAGAATTTGGCTGGTTACATAAACAAAAGTCCAAATAGGCAACTATGTTGGGTTAGAATTTGGCTGGTTATATAAACAAAAGTCCAAATAGGCAACTATGTTAGGTTAGAATTAGGCTGGTTATATAAACAAAAGTCCAAATAGGCAACTATGTTAGGTTAGAATTAGGCTGGTTATATAAACAAAAGTCCAAATAGGCAACTATGTTAGGTTAGAATTAGGCTGGCTATATAAACAAAAGTCCAAATAGGCAACTATGTTGGGTTAGAATTTGGCTGGTTATATAAACAAAAGTCCAAATAGGCAACTATGTTAGGTTAGAATAAGGCTGGCTATATAAACATACAGAAATATGTTTGTTCCTGGACCCTATTTTGGAGGAGGAAATAGTACAGACCCACTAGCTGCCTAACAAGTATGTCGTAAGAGTAGACTGATTAGAAGTGTTTTCTTCGAAGTGGGAGTACATCTGCCTGAGAGGCCATGAACCAGCAGATACGCCAGATCTGTCTAACGGATGTGCACGAAAACAAGCATGTCGTAAAAGTATATTAATTAAGTTTGTTTTCTTCAAAGTCAGTGTGCATCTGCCTGAGAGGCAAGGAACCAACAGTCTGCATAAATAAAATCAGATCTGCTAAAAGGATATGCACGCAACACCCAGGTTCTGGAACAAGACTACAGTCTAGAGGTGGACAAACAACCAGAACTTTCCGCCCGAGTTTACTGCCAGTGAACCCGAAGAAAAAAAAAGAAATTATTTTATTACCCCCCCCCCCCCCCTTTCCAGAATTGCAGTCAGTAAGATTACCTTGAGATATCAAGGATGAGACTTAAATAGGTACAAATCTGGGAAACCCCCTTCAACCGTATAGCTAAATAGCACTGTTATACGGGGGGGGGGGGGGGGGGCACACAACGGGAACGAAGTCACCTTATTCAGCGTGTGTGCGTGCGCGAGCGCGCGTACGTATGTGTGTGGTATGTATGTGTGTGTGTTACACGTCAGAAAATGATGGCAAATGTGTAATATTTGTTGATCTGTTCCATTCACTATGTATTGCAAAATTTTACTACATGTGCGATATTTCAGTAGACATAAATTACCAGGTAATTTAGGAGGTAATAAACGGTTTTTGTGTAAAACGTTACAACTCGCAAAAAATGTTGAATTTTTCAAGGTAAAAGTTAAATTCTGTTCAGGCGAATTACTCTTTAAAACCCAGACATCAGTTAATACAAGCAACTTGTACCTTTTCAAACTCTCTACATTCTTCGCCCACCTTTATTAGTATGAATGACAACAAAATATGTTGAAACGTAAGCATGTTGAAACGTAAGCACTATGCAACTTAGCCAGAACAATGTCATTTAACACTTGATACAACTGAGTTTTTATTGTATGCGAAAGAAAATTACTAACTGGATGCAGTGTTTCAGTAATCATATTCCTATTTTGAGCTGAGCATTCCTAAATAGGGGATACAGGCAGTCTTTAAGAACTCGCTTTATTGTCTATATATAATTACAGACAATAAACAACGAAGAAGGAAGCGGCAGTCGTGTAGCTAGTCTGGTTTTCGGAGGTTCGTGGGTTCTGGTTTAGGGAAAAAACCCAGTATTGCTAGCCCTGCGATGGAGAATCTTCTTTCGTGGTCTTTATTATTGATTTACTAGACAAGATACAGCGATGGCTCCTCTCTAACCCCCCCCCCCCCCCCTTCTGGCCCCTTTTTTTGGCATTCCACCGGTTGTGCGTGGTTGGACTTAATAGCCTCAGTCTAACGAGACGTACCCTGCAAGGCAGCGGGCGGAGAGGTTATAACCATGCATCTGATCCCCCAATGGCCACATCTGGCAGTTTCGAGGTATTGGATAGAGCTAGCTGCCCCACCAACTCACTGCCTTCTCTCAGTGACCACCACATGTGTAGGTTCAAAGCTGCTTATTCAATATATTCATTGTTTGTTTGTTGTTTGTTTTAGTATCCAGAAGCCATGAGTTGTTAACCCTTATTATGGATATCGCAACCTTTCGGCCTTGATTCCATTGTAAATACCATAAATCTGGGAGAAGTGTGACTTTTCTGCCTACCCCCGGGAGTGAACCCGGACCACAAGGAGTTTGTCACCCGGTCTCCGCGCAATCCGGTTTAGCCAACGTCGCCAGAGAGCCTGGCTATTCGTTAAGTTGGGGAACCTATTGTATTCATCATCGTCATCATCACCAGAACCACGATCTTCGTTATGTGCCTTATTGAGAAGCGTAGGTAGTCATAATTCGCCATCTAACACGATCACCAGAATCTTAGATCAGGTCAGTGATCTCGTCTATTTTTTTCTTCTTCTATCAAACTTGCCAGTCATCACTAAGTTCCCGAGTCCACTCCTACATATAACATGCTGAAATATATTTTCTACTTTCAAGTTATCAAATGCATTGATGAAATGTATTACTGGCATATAAATCGATCATTTACTTGAATGACACGTTACCTTCTAAATTGTTCTGAATGTGGTCATCCGGCACATGGCTATTTCGTGGGTAGTCAATGTAGTAGTCTGCATCATCTATCCTGTCAGCATCAGTGCTTTCTTCCAAAGGAGAAATGACTTTCTTCACCTCAGAAGCATTTCGTTTTTGAAAGGACTTGCTTTTCTGTGTACTGATTCTGATAGGGTCAAGAGCTCTACCAGATTCATGTGTTAACCAATCTTTATTCTGCAGAAGCCTCTGTTGCTCTTGACCTAATGACCATGGGAAAGACCGTTTAGTCCGGGACATCTGATGCTTCAGCAGATGGTTATCCGCTTTGGAATCCATGAACAGTCGAATGAATTCCGAACTTGATGAGACTTCGGGGAGTTTGTCTTTCAGATACGACAGCGGTATAGCTTTCATTTTTACCTGTTTGAGATATGTCAAAGTTAACTTTGTAAAGGGTATATGTAAAGTCGGGAGATGTGAATTAGCGTCATTGCACACAGTTAAACCCATATGTGTTGTGCCACCAGTACGGACAGTTGATAGGAAACTGTCTGTCTGTGTCGCTGTCCATACGAAACTCTGTAGCTACAGCAACGTTTCTTCATTTACCCTAAAGTGTTAAACTCTGGTACCTATTTCCTAGAGTCTGGGTGAACTCCAGGAACCGCCAGATTTCGAACACTGACCGTGGGCTGCAGCGGGTCACGGATTTGAAAGCGAGTCTCCTACTTTGTTATTCAAGTGTTACCAAAAATACACGGGAAGTAGAATAAAATAACAAAGTGAAATCGACGAGGAGAAGATGGTGTGAGCAATAGTGAAGAATGGGATGACTTAGCGCAGGACATTTACTTCCTAGTTCAGAATGGAACAAAACCAGCCAGCACCTAAAGTGTACTACATAAGAGCAGCAGGCTACAAGTCAAGAGGTCGACCAAGAAAAATATGGGTGTATAGAGTAAAAGATACGCTATAGAAACGCAATGTGACTTTAACACAGGCTATCCCTACAGCACAGGGCATGAACCAGAATCAACATCTCTTTGCGACGCTTTACGGTAAACAGTAGGCGACGATCAAACGAACGAACAAACAAACTTTATTTTCATAGAGTTAAGAATTGGGCACGCAGGTCCGTCTAACGGAACATGGAGAAGAAAATTTACACAATGTGACTTTTCCTTGCACACATTTTAGACTGGGTCGGCCTCGCAGGCAAGGTAAACATATTTGTTGAAAAACATTCGCCCATGTGGAGTCGAATCCAAAACCTTCAGGTCAGCCCAACCTAATGAGAATGTTATAGTGGGTATGTTTGATACACAGGGTGCCTTCCGCAAAGCTGGTACGAGACAGTTTTTTTTTTTCATTTTAATTATAATCAGAGTATTTATGTAAAACTATATACGAGGGCTATTCTAAAATAACCTCCGATTAAACATTTAGACCTTCTGCTTGACGAAAACGAAAGACACCCACGAATTTCACAGCTCGTGGGACAGGCAATGACGATGTCCAAGTTTATTCGTTTGCAGTTCGTGAACCACTGAACAAATGCGACAATAGGCTGGTGTGTAGTGAGCTAAGCAGCTACTGAATGATACATGCAATGAACAGTGTCGCAATGGCATACGTTCTTCTTCTTTAAATCAGTCAATACATATAGGTTGAAAAACCACTGACCTAGACTACTCTCCGTCATTTTGGTATTCGCGGGTGCTGATTCTGAAGAAGAAAAAAAATCATCCTTAGAAATACCACCGCCTCTTACTACTCAGGATTAATTTGTTATACTTACTGATGGCTTTGATCGTGGAATCTTTTCTCTGTCATGCCCATCAGAAGCCAGTTCAAAAAGAGCAGATTGGAATGGATCCTGTGATGACGAAGGTTTGACACTGGATACATCGTAGATATAGCCAGCGATCAGGCCCAGCGTCACCACGACCTGCAGCATGAACAGCAAGCACAACCACCACTGCCGCCACATGGTACCCTGCAAATGAATAAAGTTTATGTACATGACATACTGCATTCTAAATTCTAATGATATACAGGGCCATTTTCAACATCTGCCGGTGAATCCTTGGTATTTAAGAAAGAAGCCAAGCAATTTCTTGAGACCTCAATTTTACAACAACAAAATTCTTTGAATTCCTTGGACTGTCAAAAATGAGCAACCCAGATGTTTTGAAAGAAGCAAGGACTCGAAGACAACTTATAAACATCAGAGACTGTCATCCTTTTTTGGTCATGTTATGAGAAGAAGCAAACCAACATGTTGTGACAAATGGAAAGATCTGTGGAAAGATAGACAGAGGAGGAGAACCAATTTGTTGACGACTCGAAGACGTGGTTTTACGGAAGAATCCTTAGAATTCCTTGGAATTCCTTAGAAATCCTTAGAATTCCTTGGAATTCCTTAGAATTCCTTGGAATTCCTTAGAATTCCTTGGAATTCCTTGGACAGCTTAGAAGAGTAACCTAGATGTTTTGAAAGAGCTTGAAGACAACTTATCACAAACATCAAAAAGAGACAGTCATCCTTTTTTGTGTGGTCATGTTATGAGAAAAGGGAAAATTTAACCACTGGCAAGATTTTAGGAAAGAGAGACAGAGGAAGTTAGCGCGAAATGACTCTTAACAGCCTTTTGTCATGGCACGGAGTAATGTCAGCACACGAACTGATACACGCAGATGAAGAAAGCAGATTCAGGAGAAGCAGATTCAGGAGAGGCATGATCGCCCACGGCAGTCGGCAAGGCAGAGAGAGCGAAAGAGAGAAAGAGAGAGAAGGGGGGGGGGGGAACAGTTCCATTGCCTTTCATGAACCATGCGGTAAAAAGGTTGATAATTGAAGGTTTGGTCAAACTGGATGTGTTTGGCCGAAACACCAAGATATGACAGCCATGCTGTTAACAACACAACATTGCAACCGCTGTTTTAAGAAACAATGTATGAAAGATAGTCCGGCACATAGCCTCTACCTTTGTTGTATGGATTGTCTGTAAAGATCCTTGATTTAACTCTGTTTGTTTAACGCTTCCTTTAACGCTTGTTGTTTCGAACACCGGCCGTGGGCTGCAGCAAGTCGCAGGTGGATTTTAAAGCGAGTCTCCTATCGACTGCACTAACTCGGCTCCCGCGTAAAAAGTGTGCATCCCATCTCTGAAGGGAAAAAAAATGATATGCAGCTAACTATAATATACATAAAAAGTTAATTGCGTATCCTTTACAGGAAGTTGCAGGTTGTTGTTTAAAGGCAAATTTACGACCAGTGGTTTGTCATTGCTCTCTGCTCGAATGGCTCCCAATACCAATGTCGAAACCAACGCAACGCGCAAGGCCTGCAGCTGGAATCAAACCCGGCAGCCCGGTATTACGAAGCGCGTTCACAAAGCCTGAGCCACAGACGCCAACGTAATATACACACAAAGATATAATGACTGAACAATTTATGGCAAATTCAGGGCTTGTGTAGAACTGGATGATTCGTTCATGAACATGCACTGCTTTTGTTGTTGTTGTGGGCTCACCAATATTTATACGGAGTTATTATTTCAGGAAATAACATATCAACTCCACTGAGAATATTATATTTCTTAGCAGCAACAATCCCGCAGTTCTTTCTGCGGTTGGATAGGAGCGTCTTATCTGAAACATCATATATACTAAGTTAAAGTTAATGCGATCACGTTTGCTATCAGGCTATTTTTTTCGAAGAGAGTAAGATCTGGTTGAACACAGCTTGGCAATTATCAGAATGTATATGAGGAGGGATGGGAGATGCCGTGGTCTAACGGTAGACGTTCGCCTGCGGATCAGAAGGTGCGGATTCGGGTCCTGAGGGAGCCAGGCTTTCTTCAAAAATAACCTTGGCTTCCAGGTGGACCCAGCATTGAGTGGGTACGAGGTACAGTTGTGGAAAGTAAAGGCGGCCGACGGGATGTTGACCACATCATCCACCAAGTGCCATTTGGTCAATAAAAATAGGTCTAGCCCTAAATACCCAATATGCCTTAGTGCCTGAAAAAAGGGTCCTTTACTTTTTTTACTTTTACTTTATATGATGAGTGATGATTACTTCTCTGCTCACGAACTAATCTACCCAGAAACACAATCCGACGGAAATTTGACTCGATCCACAAACAATACCTTACTGCACGAACGCAAATCCATGTTTTGTTCAGATTTGAGCGCTGTGAACATTATTTATCGTTTGGTTGTTCTCGATACAATGTTTGCTTTATTAAATTTATACTCACTATAAGGACTCCCAAGAAAGAAATAAACATTAGTCACAGTGGTGTAAAGAAGCCTAAACGTATTACAGTAGAAACGAAGCAGTAAAGTGCAGGTTTTCACTGAGAAGCTTCAGTCAATCACCCTAAAAAAACTGACCAGCAGAAGTGCAGTGAACATTTTAAGTGACAACGTGATGTCCCATTTTCTGAAAATTATGTCTCGAGTGCTAGTGGTTCCGGGTTCAATCCCCGGTAAGGGCTGGGATTTTTTCACGTGGACTTGGACTTCTAGTAGTTCCCCCTGGTCTCTGGACGCCCGTGTGTATTGTTGCGCGCGTAAAAAAATCCCTTGGCAGTTGGAAGTCAAAAGATGTAGCCTAACGGCAATGCCCGGGTAAAAATTTGGAGTTGAAAACTTAACCAAAGTATTTTAGGATCCTAGCCGTTTCTACACTGTGTACTTACTTTCGTTATTTTTAGGACGCAATTTTTTTGTCATTTGAAGCCCCACCCTGGCTTTTGTCAGGGGCCGCAATATAGGCAGGCCATAAATATGGCCAATTGTCTGAACGCGGTTTCTGGGACCTCTCCACGGCGATCCTCATCCGCGTGGTGGCACTTTGTGTCATCGGGTGTTTATCGCTTGTGTTATGTCCTGGTGGGGTAGAAAGTCAGTCAGTCTACACTGTGCAGATCTTCTTCGGACTCAGACTTGAGTTAGAAGAAAAACAGAGCACTAATGGGTTACTACACGTGTGCCATGATGTTGATCCGTTGATCAAAACCCAGGGGAAGGACTAGACGAATATACAATCAGACAGTTACTGGTACCTTCGGAATTGGAACTCTTCGCTTGCTGCTGAAGATGGGGACTTAGCACTTATGGGAGTGTCCCAACTGCTGTGATGTCGATTCCTAATTCAACATTCGACTCTTCTCAGGAAGGTATCAAGGAAAGATATAAAATCGAACGACAAGTAAATCAGCGAGTAGGTAGTGTGTATACTGCAGTGTAGTAGTTGAGTTGAGCTGAGTCAAGAATTAACATCACAGCACTCGGGGCATTCCCATGCGTGCACCGTCCTCATCTTCAGCAGCCAGAGCAGAGTTCTAATACTAATGGTACCGGTCGTAATCTGGTTATATGTCCGTCTTGCTTTTCATCTGATTATAGTGAGCAAGCCAGATCTCCTGGTAACACCCAGGTACCTCATTCTTTCCAGACCATAAAAATCTGTTTAAACCAGTGTAGTAGTGTGTATGTTGAAGGGTACCTTCTCAGAAAGGTGTAGTCAGGTTACATTTGCATTTATATCTTCTGTTTGCGTTTGTATTTTAGTATTATGCAGTATATATATATATATATTATTCCGTATAAACGCATCAATGTATAATATCCCAGCAGCAATAGCATTTTTTGTCACATCTAGGGAACAGATTAATAAGTCCCCCCTTTTTATTTATGGGAAAATTCCTTTGATGTTCATACGGTTTGGTACACGCCTAAGGATCAGGACGGGATTAAGTACGTTGCACACCAAGGTGCCACTGCATTTGTTTATCTTCTTCTTCGTCTTTTTTAGCACTCCGAGTCCTTGATGTTCACGGCTGCAGACACATGGTTGGGAAATTCACAATCATCATCGTGTAGCAGGTCCTTTGCAGAACGTCGCTCTCATCACAGTCTGCCTGTAAGAAACTCGGTCTTTTGCCAGTTCTCCCGCCTCATGAACTTTCACACTCAAGGAGTCACTTATATCCTGTGCCCATCTTCGTGTCGGTCGGCCCCTGCCCCTCCTTCCTGGTACCATGCCTTCTCCTATAATTTTTTCCAATCCGTCGTGGCGCTTGATATGACCAAAATATTTCAGCTTTCGAAAAAGGATGCTGTTTATTAGCCAATCTTCCTTGATGTTCAGATCTTTTAAGATGTCAATATTTAAATTCACAATACTTGAAATATATAACTAATTTTCTGGCCATCCAGCCTTTATTGTTATAATAATAATAATAATTATTATTATTAATTATTGTTGCGTTTTTAAACAAGGGATAGGTTCCTTGATAGCCCCTACCCTGACAGTTTTTAATGGAGATGAGCTCCCTCTCGCTCGCAACGTTTTCTTTCCGTCGGAGCCGCTGACAGTACAATTAGAGCAGTGGTTCTCAGCCTGCCGGTCTTGACCCTTATTTGTAGGTTGAACGACCCTTTCACAACGGTGACATAAGACCATCGGAAAACACGTATTCATTAAAGTTAAGAAGGAAAATAATTAGAAAGGAAAATAAAAAACATAAAGGGAACTGTATTAAAGGGTCGCGGCGTCAGTAAGGTTGAGAGCCACTGACTAGAGTAAAAGATTACACATACCAAACGCCGAAATATGAAAGATGACTTCATTTGTTATTGTTCCTGAAACATGAAACTTCTTGCATGCGCTTAATTCCTGAAGATATCGTGCTCACACAAACAGAATGTCTGATGCTAGTGAATTCGATAACTCTTGTTTACTCGTTAAGACACAGTGAAATATGATGTTAAATGTTAATTGCACCCTCACCCCACCATACCGCGAGAGGAATCAGCATTTGATAACTAATGTGGTCAAAATCACGTGAACCGAATCTACATTTCATCAGATAATGGCGTTTCCAACTTCACAGCAAAAAGGTCATCTCATGTCTGCTCTGTTCCTACGCCAGCCAAAGATACCCATACAGACTGTCCATAACTACCTTATAGAAA